AATGCGTGATTACGTCAGATGAGGCTACGCAACGCGTGATTATGTCAGACGAGGCTACGCAACGCGTGATTACGTCAGACGAGGCCACACAATGCGTGATTACGTCAGATGAGGCTACGCAACGCGTGATTATGTCAGACGAGGCTACGCAACGCGTGATTACGTCAGACGAGGCCACACAATGCGTGATTACGTCAGATGAGGCTACGCAACGCGTGATTATGTCAGACGAGGCTACGCAACGCGTGATTACGTCAGACGAGGCCACACAATGCGTGATTACGTCAGATGAGGCTACGCAACGCGTGATTATGTCAGACGAGGCTACGCAACGCGTGATTACGTCAGACGAGGCCACACAATGCGTGATTACGTCAGATGAGGCTACGCAACGCGTGATTATGTCAGACGAGGCTACGCAACGCGTGATTACGTCAGACGAGGCCACACAATGCGTGATTACGTCAGATGAGGCTACGCAACGCGTGATTACGTCAGACGAGGCTACGCAACGCGTGATTACATCAGACGTCGGCAACAAGCTTTGTGGTAGTAAACAGGAAGTGAAACTTGATAACTAGCAGAGGCTAATCATCTCGGGACAATGGAGCAATTTCTTCGTGAATGCCTTGCTATTGGGCCATTTATAATTATTCTATCTATTCAGCTAGTACAGGCTGTGTTTAACGCTGCCAGGAGATGTAGGGAAATAAACGCAATGKTAAACTACGCAGCAGAAAGACACGTGCAACTACGCAGGGACGAGACAGGTAAGCTGAAACAGCTGAACGTAAAGTGATGTAAATATGCGCTACATCAGAATTTATTCGACAAATGTGTTTCCATCTCCCGTTTTGCACATTAACTACTTTGTGAATCATCCAAAAACCACCTCAAGTGAGCGTAAAACTTTTTAGTGAATTGAATTTTGCTGTTTCCATCAGACTTTTTTTCACATTTTTAATGCGACACTTCTAAATGCTCATCAAAAAGCCTTGATGGAAACAGGTTTCTGTGTGTTTTCTGAGGACTTTGTTTGAACTGAGTCAAAGTGATGCGCTGTAGGAAACGGTTTGGCTGTGATGACTTTTCAAAGCTGGGTGGATCAAACAGGGCCTCAGTGTGACTGTTTCTCCAGCTCCTTGTTAATTCAGCAGCTCACAGAACTGTTGCTGTTTACTGTGGAGGGAAGCCCTGCCAGGCTCATCCAAAAAACACAAATTCCACTGCTCATTTTATTTTCTCTGTGTTTCAGTTTTTCCACTGAATCGCACACAAATGCACACAGCTCCTTCCCTTTTCCTGCAAACCGCCCTCCGCCCTTCTGCTATCTTGCAGCCATCAGGCAGGATTTCTGGAGGGCAGCAGCTGCAAAAAGGAATTTCTTGTGCCAGATTGTCAGAGTCCCGCGGTCGGAAAAAGGRCTAATTCTCTGGTGGGCTCCCTCTCAGAATCGAGGGGCGTAAGGCCAAGGAGAGATCCTGGCCAACTATAACAAACAAAGAGGCTTTCCCCAGTTCTCCCAGGCAGCCAGTTCCACTGTTTGACAATGGTTGCCATGGAAGTTGTTTTTCACTTCATAACAGTGTCAACATGTCCACGCGCTCGGCTAAGACCCTGCTCTCCCTCCAGCGCCGTCGTTGCTCTGAGTGTCAAAGAAAAAAGGACATTTCCTGCCGTCTGCCGGTGCTGGATGAACCCTGGAACCAGAGGAGTGATTGTTGTGGATGGGAGCAGGCTGAGACCTGAACCCCAACCCTAACTGCAGCTAACCGATAACTGCAGCTAACCGCTAACTGCAGCTAACCGCTAACTGCAGCTAACCGCTAACTGCAGCTAACCGCTAATCAGGGGTGTCCAAACTACCAGTTTTTATTGGCCCGCAGCAAATTCTGAAAATATAATTGAATATGGCCCACACAAGAAGTTTGAGCTCAACTCTGTTGCATTCTCAGTTTCAACACTAGATGGAGCCAGCCACAGAAACGAAGTTATAGAAAGAGGAGAAGAAGAACCTTTTTGTGACTGCRACACTGCGTTCAGTTTGAGTCTCCAGAAATGGCGGCGCCGAAGAAACGATAAATAGCGAGTGAGTGTAGGAGATTTCAAACACGGTGAGAAAATGAGTGTTTTTTCAAAGAAATCAACAGAAAGTGTGTAAATGGGACAAGCTCTGTGGAGTAACAACAGATGGAGCTCCAGCCATGACGGGCGAGCACAAAGGAAGGCATGGTTGGTGTGCACCAAGGTAAAAGTGATCGGAGGTGAGGCTGTTAGGATGTGCTGTATGTGTGCAAAGACTGTCCAGCTGGGCCATGTGATGAACACAGCTGTAAAAACTGTCAACACAACTCCAGCTAAAGGACTGTAGCACAGAGAGTTTCAGGCTTTCCTGACGTGGACGCTGAATACAGAGATGTACTCTGCCTCTCTGATGTGCACTGGCTCAGCCACGGCTCTGTGCTGCACAGGTTTTACTCACAGATCAGAAATCAACCAGGTTTTAAAAGACAAGGGCCGATCTCTTCGTGAACTAAGTGACCCTCTGTGGCTGGCAGACCGAACAGCTGGTGCCACATCTGTAAAGCTGCGCCTGTTTGAGACACAACTACGAGGCTTTAAYGYTGCACACTTTCCTGCTCTGTCTGAARCCAAGTCTGCTTTTCCAAACACCGAGTAATGCCAAGTATCCTCTGATGAGACACCACACAAAACGAATGATGAGCCTGTTCGGCTCAACACACACACATGTGAAGAAACATTTTCTCTGTTAAATCAGAACAAAAGCAGAGTGAGAAGCAGAGTGACTGATAACATCTCTGAAGTCCTTCATGTCTCAAACACCAAACTTTCTCCTGACATGTCAGCATCGTTGAACCCAAAGGACAGCATCACTGCTCCCACTGAGTGCAGAGTTCTTCACAGAGGTGAGTTACAAAAACACAATTATTCATGTATCCGTATGTCACATGTGGTGTGTGGCCCGGCCTTTTGTTTATTGTTCTGTATTTGGCCCTGGCTGAAGAAAGGTTTGGACAGCCCTGTGCTAACTGAAGCTAACCGTGGACTCGTCTGCTTTWATCTCTGCAGAGTGAAGAGAAAAGGTTGGACCTGCTGCTGCACATTGGTTCTGTGGAGGGTAGGAGGTGTAAACAGATGACTCAGCTCACTGTTATTTCCACTCTGAGTGGACACCTCCCAGCACAGACTGTTTTAACAGGTTTGTCTTTCAGAGGAGAGCACGGAGCACGGGCTGCATGGAGACATGGAGCAGAGACTGTAAATATCCATGAATTGTTCTCAGGAGAGCTCATATCTCTGACGACACGTCTTATCATCACTTGCTTTCGTGCACATATCCATCACACACACACACCCACACACACACATTATTACAGTTGACTGACACAAAGCACGGGGGCATGAACTTACACTCACCATCATCTAGGTAGGCCTGGTCCAGGTTCTCCTCCTTGACTGTCACTCGTCTCTGGGGTCCACCCGGACCCTCCATCTGCCCCGGTGCAGCCCGGCCTTTCTGCTGGATCACAGTGGGGCACGGCTGTGGGTGGGGCCCCGCGGTGTGGGCCTGGGGGTGTGTGGGTGAGTGGGGCGCGGGCTGCGGGGGGTAGCCGTCGCAGTAGAGCAGGTCGTCAGGCTGAGGGGGAGGCAGTGTCGGACYCTCCCCCGCCCTCAGCAGCTGCTGGTTGGCGGTGGAGAACTGGATGATGGACGGGTGTGGCGCCGACTGGACCGGGGAGCCCGTGTGGACGAGGACCGAGCGGTGGGGGTCGGGCACGGCCCCCCCGGCCTGCCACGAGCCGGGGCTGACGCTGAGGCTTCTTCCTCCGCGGGAGTAGACTATAGCCGGGCTCTGGTGCTGGAAACGGGAATCCTGGCTTGGAAGGCTGGAGCTGAAGCACTGGCGGGAGGCCATGTCCGGGTACAGGACACTGCGGGGGCTGTGGTAGTAGGAGTGGGGGGATAAACCTAAGATCTGAGGCACCCCAAAGCCCAGGTGGTCCTCTTCATACTCATCTAAAGGCTCGGCCTTAATGTACGGAGCTGAAAGAGAAAACAACCAATCAGACGGCAGGTTAGGGTCAGGGAACAGGAAGTTTAAAAGGATCCATGATTAGTTGTAACATTAGACTTTATTTAATAAACATWTATTTTAACTGTAAAATAAAGACTGTAAAAATACTGTAGGATGTTTAGTTTTGTAAGTTTTTAAAAATATATTTTAACACGGACGGAGCCATTTTATTTACACACAAAGCATTCTGGGTAAATGATGACGTGGATAGGTCCTCGGTGCGAGGCTGCTAGCGAGCTATATCCACCCTGAAGGTTAATCTTGGACAATATCTGATGATCGACTCTTTTAAATGAAACCAGAGAGCGTTGACAGAGAGGAGAAGGTAGAAATGACTCAGCCTGGAACTGAAAATATGGATGGAGGACAACAGAGCTGCTTCATGGAAGAACAACCTCAGATTAGCCTGGTAGCTTTAGCGTTAGCCCCGATGCTATCACCATATATATGTATTAGCTCAGCGCTACACATTCTCCTCTCGTCACTGAGGTCCTCCATCCACATGACAGAGAGGGGAACACAAAAATGACTCAGCTGTAACTGAAAATATGGATGGAGGACAACAGGTTAGCTTGTTTGTCGCGCTAGCGTGACAAACAAGCTAACCTGTTAGCTAGCGCGACAAACAAGCTAACCTGTTGTCCTCCATCCATATTTTCAGTTACGTCTGAGTCATTTCTACCTTCTCCTCTCTGTCAACGCTCTCTGGTTTCATTTAAAAGAGTCGATCATCAGATATTGTCCAAGATTAACCTTCAGGGTGGATATAGCTCGCTAGCAGCCTCGCACCGAGGACCTATCCACGTCATCATTTACCCAGAATGCTTTGTGTGSAAATAAAATGGCTCMGTCCGTGTTAAAATATATTTTTAAACTTTTAGTTTGAAAATGATAAAAACTAAACAGCCTACAGTATTTTTACAGTCTTTATTTTACAGTAAAAATAAATGTTTATTAAATACAGTCTAGTCAGGGATCCCTTTAAGAGGGTCACACAGAACCGGAGCGGGTTTCTTACACGCCAGAGGAGTGAAGGTGAAATGCTGAGGCTGGCTGCGTTTCCTCTTGCCGTTGATGACGTAGAAGTTGACTTTGACAGAACGACACACAGATGTGTCCCGGTAAGACGGCACCTCCACAAACAGCATGCTCTGCAAGGCAAAGCTCGGTTACTTCCCCTTACCGCTCTTCTTTTAAACAGCTTCCTAAATCAAGCGTGTGTTACAGGTGAAACATGTTTTTAAACCATAATTACACACATACAGGCTGGCTTTTGTCTTTGTCCACGGTYGCTTCCATTTCCCAGATTTGCTGCCCGTCTGAGAAGTAAAAAGAGAAACTGGAGCATGAGTCATTGTGGTAAATGTTAATGAGATTTATTGTGTGACAAGTCCTAGTCAGGAGGAATCTTTGGTTTTATAAAAAAATAAAACATTGTTCTTTGTGTATTCAAAGCAGTTCTTGTTTATTTCATTTCACAGCTATAAAACTTGTAGCAGCAGCTTGTGCTTGTAGATAAAACCACTTCCTGCCACACCAACAGACAACTAAAAACAGAATCTGTAGGTTTACCCAAACGCACACGCAGCGCTGTTCATTGATCACAAAGACACAAACGTGGCGCCGGCCCACGGTTCGAACCACAGATGTTGGAGCTGTTAATGCCCTAACGTTACATCACACTTCATCAGGTCCGACTCAAYGAGTCGTTTAGGACCACGAGTTAAACGCTACAAACTGTACAGGCTGCGTTTCTGTAAGTGGGAACCCCTCGATCACATTACAGATTAGAAACACGTGGATTAAATGAGTCAGCACCAGAGAGGGGGTTTTACACACACTGCCAAAATGCTTTGGTTTTTTTTATTTTAGATTGTAGTTTTATGAGAAACTCTCTGCACGTCTTTACAAAACGTGATGACTACTGCTCTCTTGGCTTTTGRGTTTGTTTGCATTTGTTTCAGTTCTTCTCTAAGGGATACCCCGATTTGTTCTCCCACCAAGGATAATTGTGAGAGGAGGCGGAAAGCAGGATTGATGGAGCTGGAGAAAAAGCTTCGACTTGGCCCGGGAAGCTTTCCCTCTCTCCAAATGACTCTGCTCGTCCAAGGACAAGAATCAGGGGAGCTCCTGCCAGATGCAGCTCTCATTCAGAGGGATTCCACAGCTGGACCGCTCCACAACTTTGTGTCATTACGAAATTCTCCAAAACAAAGGCAATCCCTTTGGAGGCTTTTATTTTTCCTCTCCGTGTTACTGTGGAGTGTCGTAACGCAGCAGTAGGGAACCCCGAAAAAAAAAGAACAAGGACGTGCAAATCCAACATTTCTGGAGGTTTTTTGAGGTCTGCCTGTAAGTTAAACACCAAACTTTCTGCTGAGCGTGCACACCAGAACCAGGGAGTCGCAACATCACACAGAATAAAAGAACCAACAAAGCTGCACCTATAAATCTTCAGACCAGCATCTGAGGACAAGTTGTTGAGAAGTGTCATAGCTAACACATCCCAAAGCCACGCAGTGTGGAGCCGCTGACCACATGTGAGACTTTAAGAACAGTCCTGGGAAAAAGAAAGTCCAGCCTTTTCAAGTCCTACCATTTAGACAGGACATAAAAAAATCATCTGTTTTTTCACAAAGTCCTGAATATTCTCATCTAAACTCAACGGTACAAAAACATGAAGGAGTAAAGTCCACAATGCACTGCAGCTTGTTTGGAAAAACCTAATACAGCTTGAAGCAAAGGGTCAAGCATGGCGGAGGAGGGCTGATGGTCTGGGGCTCCTTTGGACCCTAAACTCCACTGCAGACCACCCAGGGTTCCTACAGCTTAAAAAACAGTTAAATCTAAGACTTTTTAATGCCACTTGAAATTCAATTTAACATTTTTAAGACCTGTGAACGTCTGATTTAAGACATTTAATTAAGACTTATTTTTGGATTGATGCCTTTTAAGAGTTTTAAGGATCTGCAGGAACCCTGCCACCTGCTGAGGACCAAACTGGCTCCAACAGAACCATGATCCCAAACACAGCAGCTGATCTACAACATCCATCAATCTTAACCCACTTCTTCCTTTCAAGACCACCGGTCACTGTGTGACGGTCACGAGTCCATCAGAGACACATGGAGACAAACGAGACAGACAAACAGGGACAGTTTAGAGTTACCAGTTAACCCAACAGTCATGTTTTTGGTCTGTGGGAGGAAGCCGSAGTTCCTGGAGAAAACCCACGTATGCACAGAGAGAACATACAAACTCTACCCAGAAAGGTCCCCTGCCAGGATTCAATCTGCCAACCTTCTTGCTGAGAGGCAACAGAACTGAGTCACTGTGCACCCCCCGCCCCCCAATCGACAACAGAACGGGTYAAAAAGAAAAGAATGGAGGTCCGTCCAGAGATGTGACGTTAGAGAACGATCTGAATCTTTTGAACGGCTCTTTACAACCAACGATAGGAGCCGAAGGGCAGGCAGTGATGAGCCTTTTGTGTTTTATTTCTTTATTTTTTCATTCTTAAATGGCTCCCGCTTTGCTTTTCACTGACAACAGGTGGAGCTGTGGAGTACAGAAGTTCAGTGAAGGGGTGGGGGGGTCCACTTAACAAACACATGGTTCCACCCACGTGATGGGATTACATCATCACGTACGGCTACGTGATGAYGTAATACGTTCAAAATCAAACGGCTCTTTTGAATGGCTCAATGAAACAAACGGCTCCCCAAGATCCGGATCCCTTCAAAGAGGTAGTCCAGTCAGAGTCCAGACCTCCACCTGGTTCACGTTAGGGTGGTCTCTTCAGACACCAGAGCAGAACAAATGTCTGCAAACCTCAAAGAACTAAAGCAACACTGTTCAGAGGAGTGGGACACAACTCCTSCACAACCACACAACAGACAGAAAACCAACCCTGAGTTGTTGCTGACTGAGGTTCTACAAGCTGCTGGGTCAGGAACCGGACCTTTCATGGGATCTGATTTGTTTTATTTGTGACCCCACATGAGAAGCAGGGTCTTATTGTTTCTTTCTTTCTTTTTTTCAGTGATGTTTGGTCAACTGTAGCAGGGGAACAGCTGCATCGATCAGCAGTGATGACATTTGTCAGGATGTAGAAGAGTCTGACCTACACTGCACCAGCCAACGGTTTTAGGATGGACCCCGTGTTTGAGGAGGGGGCTCCATCTGGGCATAAAAAAATGCTTATAACTCGAAAACTATTCAACATGGGAGCTTCAGATTTTTATTTTTTGTTGTTTATCTCTGATGAAGGGCTATCCATCGAGCCCACCAATGAGCCCCCCCCCCTTACCCAAAACAATAAAACTGTCCTGAGTTCTGATGCACTGGTGCTTTGTGTCTGTTTGCCATATCTAGTTTGAAGTTCAGTTTGAGCCATTTTAAATCTGGATTATTCTTTTTCCGTCCCGATGGACAGAACCCCAGAACTGACACCAGGGTCGTCTCTAATAAGCAGGACTATAAAAATAAAACCAGACTGTTTCTGACGTGAAGCACCGAGTCATTATCTGTGTGACAAAATGAGCCTGAGGAAGAAAAGGTCAAGCGGAAGTAAAGCAGCAACGTTTCCTCTGGATCAWGCAAATAGTGGAAGTGCAGTGGTGCAACAACGGCTGTGAGAAGAAAAGCAACAAAACGTGTTGCGCAGATCCTGTGGTGTGTGACTCATCAGTTCTCTGCTCCGTGCTGTGCTGTTCCTGTCCCACCACAGGTTTTATATCAAACTCACCCTGGGTCTTCTCCACAAACATGACCTTTGAGTCGGAGCTGAAGTTCTGCCCGGTCAGGATCATCTGCTGGCCACCCAGAACAGAGCAGCTGTCCAGGTCCTGCTTCTCCACCATGGGAAGCTCATGAGCCGAGCGCTGGGCTGCAGAGACACACAGAGGGGCGGAGCACCACTTTTACTGTCTGTCCTCTCACACTTTTATTGTTTTTAGCTTTTAGTTAAAACCTAAGRGCCTGAATGAGTTCATTAGACATGTTCACAACATGAATCCTGATCAGTCCTCACACATCTCTGAAGTACAGTATCAAACCTGCCAGCTGCCAGCACGGAGGTGGAGGAGGGATGATTTGGTTTGCTTTGCAGATAGATGTTAAGTTAGTAATTTACCCAGAAGTGAGAATAAACGAAGTGAGGATGAGTCATTCAGGATCACAGCTGTGACTTTCACTGAGTCTCAGTTCAGATGAGTGTGAACACTTCATGTGAGCTGCTTTACAGGAAGACAAACACAAAAACTGATAAAATGATACAAATCTTTACGTTTTCTTCTTTGCACTCATCCACTGCTTTTGTTTCTCTTTTTTATTTGTTTGTCTAATTATTACATTGCCAGATATATTTTAAGTGATACATCAGAAACATGAGCTACTATATACACCACAAGCCCCGCCCCTTTTCTGAGGTGTGTCCCAGATCAACTCGTTTTGAGGCTGTCTCTTTAAATCCAAACAAGGTGCTTCACACCCCGCCCCCTACACCTTCCAGARCGGTTCATTCAAGTGTGATAGAGGGTTTTATAACTATATAGCTGCTCAGAAACAAAAAATGAGCATAAGATGAAAAGTTTCTCTAAACGACTAATTAACCTTATTAATCATCTGAATCAACAAATTAACTCTAAACACCTGAGAAAGGTTCCTGAGGCTTTTAAAACCTCCCAGCCTGGTTCATTACTCAAAACCACAATCATGGGTCAGACTGCTGACCTGACTGCTGTCCAGAAGGCCATCAATGACACCCTCAACAAGAGGGTAAGACACAGAAAGACATTTCTGAACCAATAGGCTGTTCCCAGAGTGCTGTATCAAGGYACCTCAGTGGGAAGTCTGTGGGAAGGAAAAAGTGTGGCAGAAAACGCTGCACATCTGGCAGCTGATTGCATCATCCAGACATCTGTCCAACAAGAGACACGCTGGAACTACTGTCCCCGTCTTTTRCACCACTTSAGACATAATGAGAAATAATYAGGAATAAATCTGCAGCATGGATTYTTCTAAAACCAGAAACATGYCTGAGGCAAATCCTACTTGAAGAGATGTATTTATGGGTAGATAAAGAGCATTTGTGTTTGAGTTGTGATGACAGCAGGAACTTTAATAAGGCTGTGTAAACACGCATCAGTGTACCCAAACAGACTTTACTACTGAGTCCATCCAGAGCAGAGCCTGAAGCATGCACTGGATGGAAGCACTGCCTGCATCAAAAGCTTTTTATGCACAAGAAGCTGGATTATCAGCCCGGCTCCTTCTTAAAACTTGTTAACACGTGCTGTTTTAGTTTCGTTTTATTTTGAAAGGCCGTTCTATGTTTCTATTCAAACTGTGTCTGTGTTCAGTGCATCAAAATGGGCGTCTAGGTCCTCCTCTTTCGATTGACACCTCATTTGACCAACTGGGTTCAAATATCGACTGTCCAGAGCCAATAACACATCAGAAGTGACCAACTTCCAGTTTTCATAATCCGTGCTTGATTGACTGTAAAATCGGCCAATCAGCTCTGAGCTTCGTTCTGACGACACAGCTGTGTAGCCAATCACCGTACCTTTCATTTGGTATGTATATATATATACAGGGGTGGGAACTTTGTTTATTGACGGGAAAGCTAAATACCCAGGACGTTGCCATGCTTTGACAGTCTTTATGCTAACGGAGGAAGCTAACGCTCACAGGAAAACGTTATTTTCCATCATTTTTTGTCCAGTTATCTGACGAAACCTGCTGATAAGATGAAAATATATTTGTTATTAAGTGTTTCAAGTGCTTTAAGACATGGAAGAGTGATTTTTGTGGCCAGGAGAAGTTAAAAAGTTTGAATAAAAAGACTTCCGGTCGCCATTTTGAATCACTAATTTGGACATATTTGAGGACAAATATGCATCAAATGTGAGTAAAAACAAATATTTTTCACTACTGTTGGTTTTATAAGCTGTGTTAAATGTTAATGCTCTGAAAGAAATAAGGATATATTTGTTTATTCTTGTTATTTGGCTGTTATTGGTGGAAATTTGGCTGAAAGTACAGTGT